AATAATAATAATTTAAAAAGCTCAGTTTTTTTATATAAAACTCTAGTACTGATTTTTAAATGAACTAAAATTTACGTTCTCATTTGTAAGTATTTGAACCTACAGCTCATGTACTTAGTAGGTAGTTTGATAAGATAAGTTTTTTCATATTACTTGGTACTGCGGTAGACAAGTGAAGAGTATTAGTGTTGGTTACTTGAATGGCCGCATTGAGAGGTCGTATTTCGATTAATTATTCAACGTATTTTTACAGAATGCCCCAAGTTTTCTGAAACCAGCTTCATACAATCATTTAATATGATTCCATGCTGATAAGACATTAATATTATTAGTATATTTTATTGAATTATATACCTGGGTACTATAATTGTGAACAACGTGCGTAGTTTATAAAATATTGTGTATTTATGAAGCCATTTGTCAGAACGTAAGTCACAACGAATAAAAGCCATAATAAATTAATAATCATATAATATGTCTGATATATATTTTTATATACATCACGTTTGTAATTATTATAGTTGTACTGTTGTAGCATAATATTCAATCTACATTCTACATATTGTTTTACTACTTTTACATTTACGAAACCGTCGAAATGATTTTTCATGAAGTACCTATGTGATATAATATTTAATATATATACTATATTGTATATACCATTTACTGACTGGAAAACTGGTTAATATATTATACCTATATATATTTGTTATTCTTTCTTTTTCTTAAATTCTCCCATTCCAGGCACGTATTCATTAGTTTTAACAATTTATTTATTTTGAATCTTCACGGCGGATTCACTATATCAGCCCTCCACGGYAGTCCACCCGGCGCCCACACATCATCGTCAGCACGCGCAAAGATGAGAAAATCAATTTTCCACACTGCCGGCATATACAATGTGACGATGTACTCTTAACGTCACACTATTCTATTTTATTCAATATACCTACCGCATTTTATGATATAATATTATGTACCAGTCAGTATAGTACATGATCCCTAAATGTCTGCAGCACTCGCGGTGTGGGATTTTCAATTACTTATCATCGGCGTCCAGCTGAAAAATTAAATTTAATACACCCTTATCTCTGCATCTCGCGGTCTCGTGGCCATCCACGTGCGAAATCAATTTTCTCCGAAAAATACACTACCTATGTATAATATTGTACTATATTATACGTCTGTATACGTACACGGCGCACGTTTCCGTCGCGTTAATAAACCGCGATATACCCTCTGAGTGATGTCATACAAATATTTTTAGAGCATACTGTACTATTCCTTTTCAAATAAACGGACAAAATAATTTATATCGAAATGTAAACGTTGCAGTGATGGGTCTTAAAAGATAAAAATTTTGCACGACTAAACTCATTGAATCAAAAATAACTTTGTCATTGCTATTGTGGGCTTACCTGCGAGTTATTATACGATTGCGACCACTACAACATGAAAGTGCAGTATCCTCGATGACGACGGGGGTGAAAAAAATAATGCTATCTGGTTGTTAWTAMGCCAACGCCACCACCGCCACTGCCGCCGCTGTCGGAGTCGAAATCGTAGTCGCAACTCCGTAAGTCGACGTTGATGATATTGTCGTCGTCAGAGTCGAGGGAGGTACACGCGCGCCGGCCGAACGCGAGCTAAGGCCTCGCACTGAAACGGCACAGCGCTGCGGCGACATGGAACGGAAAAACACACACACTACACAGCAGTCCGTCCCGAAGGGTAATAAGCGTCGGCGCGGTTGCAACTTTCTTTATCGCTCTGTCTCACTCATTCGCTCTCCTCCCATCGAACGCCGTCATAGGCGGCGGTGGCGCTAATGTTTGGGTTACCCGGCTATATACATGGTAGGTACGTATATAATAACGACGACGACGACACACGGACCGTAAAAGCGCGTTCGGCGAGGCTGCTGCAGTGGGCGCCTGCACCACATTATTATTATTATTATTATTATTATTATTATTGCTATAATGCGTCAGTGTATAACGCCGTCATATAGGTACTAGAAGAGGGGGTTCGCGTTTTCCATTACTTTTTAAAAACAATTTATAAGAGGAGTACCTATACTCATTACTTTATGTAGCCTGAATATTTTATAACACTATTTGTTCCTTTGAAAGAGAAATCATATTTGATCAAACACTGCAGAGCTAAAGGAAATCACAATCGAGTAAACTGACATTTGATACTTAGTTTTTTGTCGTGTGCATTGGTATAATGATGCATGTTATTATATCATCACTTAATTTTATRAAGGGGGTGAGCACGAGAGTTTTTTCTTTATTTTTGATAATTTTAGAATGCAAGGAAAGCAATACAGAAAGATTGTTTAAATAAATTTGTACTTACCTTGTGTAGAACTGGTGCAGATACGGAGATATCTTTTACGAATTGACTAAATAATTGTTTAATATAAAGTGATGGGAAAGGTGTATTAAAATAATATTGAAATAATAAAAAATGTATTGTTATTAATTATTTTTTTGTTAATATAAATTTTGAAAAAAAAACACGAATATAAAACACGTAGGTACAATATTTAAAAATTACATTTGATGAGCGACTGAGTCCGTGTCGTGTAATAGACTTTTATATATAATGGGTTGAGATATTGGCTTTGATCGAAATACAATCGTAGATTGCCACATCTCACCCTGCATATGTGTGAGATATTATTATTATGTTATGATAATGTACTATTAAGTAATACAATAATTTATTGGTGTATTAGATATTGGATAATTTTTATTTATACAGCTGATGATTGTATATTATTTAAATTATTTTCTTAACTGAATGTAAAACTTATAAAAAATGATATAATGTGTATACCATT